GGGGACCTGGCAAACCAAAGAACAGCATTCTGACATTGAAATAAGGAGTCATTCAGGACCTTGTACACTGTGTACGTTAGGCCCATATTGGAGTATGCAGCGCCAGTTCGGAATCCTCATCTAGCCAAACATGCTAGGAAACTAGAGAAAGAGCAAAGGGTTGCGACAAGACTAGTACCGGAGCTAAGGGGTATGTCCTACGAGGAGACGCTAAGGGAAATCGACTTGAGACTGGAAGACAGGAGAGATAGGGAGGATATGATAATTACATATAAAATACTGAGAAGAATCGACAAGATGGACAGAGACAGGATGTTCCAAAGATGGGACACAGCAACAAGGGGTCACAGTTGGAAGTTGAAGACTCGAATGAATCACAGGGACATTAGGAAGTATTTCTTCAGTCACAGAGTTGTCAGGAAGTGGAATAGTCTGGGAAGTGATGTAGTGGAGGCAGGAACCATACATAGCTTTAAGAAGAGGTATGATAAAGCGCATGGAGCAGGAAAAGTGACTCAGTAGTGACCAGTAAAGAGGCGGGGCCAGGAGCTATGATTCGACCCCTGCAACCACAACCAGGCGAGTACACACACACACACACACAATATATAATATATATATATATTATATATATATATATATATATATATATATATATATATTAATATATATTATTATATATATATATATATATATATACATGTATATAAATAATATATATATATATATATATATATAATATATATATATAATATAATATATATATATATATATATATATATATATATATATAATATATATATATATATATATATATATATATATATATATATAATATATATATATATATATATATATATATATATATTATTGTTATCACACTGGCCGATTCCCACCAAGGCAGGGTGGCCCGAAAAAGAAAAACTTTCACCATCATTCACTCCATCACTGTCTTGCCAGAAGGGTGCTTTACACTACAGTTTTTAAACTGCAACATTAACACCCCTCCTTCAGAGTGCAGGCACTGTACTTCCCATCTCCAGGACTCAAGTCCGGCCTGCCGGTTTCCCTGAATCCCTTTATAAATGTTACTTTGCTCTCATTCCAACAGCACGTCAAGTATTAAAAACCATTTGTCTCCATTCACTCCTATCAAACACGCTCACGGATGCCTGCTGGAAGTCCAAGCCCCTCGCACACAAAACCTGCTTTACCCCCTCCCTCCAACCATCCTTGGCCGACCCCTACCCCGCCTTCCTTCCACTACAGACTGATACACTCTTGAAGTCACTCTGTTTCGCTCCATTCTCTCTACATGTTCGAACCACCTCAACAACCCTTCCTCAGCCCTCTGGACAACAGTTTTTGTAATCCCGCACCTCCTCCTAACTTCCAAACTACGAATTCTCTGCATTATATTCACACCAAACATTGCCCTCAGACATGACATCTCCACTGCCTCCAGCCTTCTCCTCGCTGCAATATTCATCACCCATGCTTCACACCCATATAAGAGCGTTGGTAAAACTATACTCTCATACATTCCCCTCTTTGCCTCCAAGGACTAAGTTCTTTGTCTCCACAGACTCCTAAGTGCACCACTCACCCTTTTCCCCTCATCAATTCTATGATTCACCTCATCTTTGATAGACCCATCCGCTGACACGTCCACTCCCAAATATCTGAATACATTCACCTCCTCCATACTCTCTCCCTCCTATCTGATATCCAATCTTTCATCACCTAATCTTTTTGTTATCCTCATAACCTTACTCTTTCCTGTATTCACTTTTAATTTTCTTCTTTTGCACACCCTACCAAATTCATCCACCAATCTCTGCAACTTCTCTTCAGAATCTCCCAAGAGCACAGTGTCATCAGCAAAGAGCAACTGTGACAACTCCCACTTTATGTGTGATTCTTTATCTTTTAACTCCACGCCTCTTGCCAAGACCCTCGCATTTACTTCTCTTACAACCCCATCTATAAATATATTAAACAACCACGGTGACATCACACATCCTTGTCTAAGGCCTACTTTTACTGGGAAATAATTTCCCTCTTTCCTACATACTCTAACTTGAGCCTCACTATCCTCGTAAAAACTCTTCACTGCTTTCAGTAACCTACCTCCTACACCATTACACTTGCAACATCTGCCACATTGCCCCCTATCCACCCTGTTATACGCCTTTTCCAAATCCATAAATGCCACAAAGACCTCTTTAGCCTTATCTAAATATTGTTCACTTATATGTTTCACTGTAAACACCTGGTCCACACACCCCCTACCTTTCCTAAAGCCTCCTTGTTCATCTGCTATCCTATTCTCCATCTTACTCTTAATTCTTTCAATAATAACTCTACCATACACTTTACCAGGTATACTTTTTGCACTCTCTTTTGTCCCCTTTGCCTTTATACAAAGGAACTATGCATGCTCTCTGCCAATCCCTAGGTACCTTACCCTCTTCCATACATTTATTAAATAATTGCACCAACCACTCCAAAACTATATCCCCACCTGCTTTTAACATTTCTATCTTTATCCCATCAATCTTGGCTGCCTTACCCCCTTTCATTTTACCTACTGCCTCACGAACTTCCCCCACACTCACAACTGGCTCTTCCTCACTCCTACAAGATGTTACTCCTCCTTGCCGTATACACGAAATCACAGCTTCCCTATCTTCATCAACATTTAACAATTCCTCAAAATATTCCCTCCATCTTCCCAATACCTCTAACTCTAAATTTAATAACTCTCCTCTCCTATTTTTAACTGACAAATCCATTTGTTCTCTAGGCTTCCTTAACTTGTAATGTAATTGATAAATCTTTTAAAGTTGCTAGAAATACTTTTTACAACCCAAAAAGGGACAACCAGCCTTATTCAACTAAAAATATATTGGTTCTCCCTTACCATGAAAACTTAGTTGATATGCCTTCTCTTCTTAAGACTGTTAATATTAAAGTTGTATTCAAAAATCTTGATACAGTAAAAAAAACTTTTGATAAAGAATTACCCCCAAAATGCTGATGGATGTGTCTATAAGATTCCTTGTAAAATCTGCAATAAAGTTTATTACGGTCAAACTGGTAAAAATCTCGAACTAAGATTAAAACAACATAAATATAGCATTAGAACTGGACAAGATTCCAATGCTCTATTTATTCATGTAAGAGATTTTAACCACCCAATTGCTTTTCAAAAAGTTGAGAAAGTAGTATCAAGCCAGTCCATGGTCGACAGGAATATAATTGAATCTTGTTTCATAAAAAGCAGTTTTGACAATAATATGAATATTTCCTTTGGTTTATATAAATTAGATACATTTATAATTAATAGAATTTGGGAAGAATTTAATAATACACTGGACAAATAATAATTTTTTAAATTTTCTTGGGTAGAATAGTTTGTTGGTGGGTTGTGCGAAGGACCTGTCCAGTTGGGCCGGCGCGCATCAGGTGTTTAACCGTTGTGGGATCTGATAGTTAGGTGTTGGCCAGACCCCTTATATACCTTCCTTGGATGCTTTACTTTCATAGTTCCTTGATAATGTGAGTAGTCACGAAAGCGCTTGGAATTTCTCTATTCTTTCAGAGTGGTTGTTTTGCATATATATATATATATATATATATATATATATATATATATATATATATATATATATATATATATATATATATATATATATATATATATATATATATATATATATAGTCAGGTCCATCTTTGAATACGCAGAACCAGCATAGAACCCACACTTGGTAAAGCATACTAGGTAACTGGAGAAAGTGAAGATGTATGCAGCGAAACTAGTCTCGAAGTTAAGGAATATTAGCTATGAGCAGAGGCTAAAGGATCTGAGATTGACAATAGAGGAAAGAAGAACAAGAAGACATGATAATGGCATACAAAATACTCATGGGAAATGATAGGGCAGATAGGGACATTTTGAGAGGTGAACATCAGGTAGAAGGGGACATAGTTGGAAGATAAAAACACACGAGTCATAAGGATGTCAGGAAGTACTTATTCATCCTCAGGATTGCCAGGACGTGAAATGACATTGACGAAGATGTGGTAGAGGCAGCATCCAAGCTTAGTCTTAAAGCAGGTGCGACACAGCCCACGAGATTAAGAGAGAGTGAACCTGGCCAGCGGGAAACTGAGAGGCGGGGCCAGGAGCTGAGACTAGACACCTACAGTCACACAGGTAAGTTAGGTAAGACACATATGCAACAGTTAGGTATCTTTATTATGAAACGTTTCGCCTACACAGTAGGCTTCTTCAGTCAACTTTTCTGTACTTGACTGAAGAAGCCTACTGTGTAGGCGAAACGTTTCATAATAAAGATACCTAACTGTTGCATATGTGTCTTACCTAACAACCTGTCGGTATTTTATACCATTTTAATGTTCACACAGGTAAGTACATATGCACAAGTACACAACCTCATCATTCTCTCTTAGATTATCCCTCTTCACCTGCTGTTGTCGTCCTCCCCCTCCATAATCCCCCTTCACCAGTTGTTGTCGTCATCCTCCTCCATAATCCCCCTTCACCTGCTGTTGTCGTCCTCCTCCTCCTCCTCCATAATCCCCCTTCACCAGTTGTTGTCGTCCTCCTCCTCCTCCATGATTTCAATATAATTGAAAACAAATCCACCTCCATGTAACTTTAAATTTTCTTTACCAATCCAGACTTTTAAAATGAAAAGTTTTACTGAATTTGTTATACAAAGTTTTAACTTAAGGAGTTTGCAAATGCCACGTAAAATAAAAACACAGACAGGTAACTACAGATCCGTATTTACATATACTAGTCGATTAACAAAATGGAACGACGGTTATATACACGTGAAAAAAACATAAAACAGTGATAACGTCAATGACAACCTTAATGATAACTAGTGGGCTGACTGCCTCTTCCAGGTGACGACTGACGTGATGTAACTGTGTGGTCTTTGACTGATATCTTGGGTCTTTCACTTACGTTTGCAGGTGTGTATGGTGGGAGTGACGGAGGCGAGGCTGGAGACCAGCCTGTAGAAGAGTCCTTGGACGAGGAGCCTGTACTCCACCAGCCTGTACATCTGACGCCACCTGCAGCAGAAGTGTCTGGCTTAGTACTGCTGCTAGGTACACCACATGCTCGCGCTGAACACACACACACACACACACACACACACACACACACACACACACACATACACACACACACACACACACACACACACACACACACACACACACACACACACACACACACACATACACACACACACACACACACACACACACACACACACACACACACACACACACACACACACACACACACACACACACACACACACACACACACACAGGCTTATAAACGACAACCAACACGGATTCAGATACGGGAAATCCTGTGTCACGAACCTACTAGAGTTCTATGACAAGGTGACACAGTTCCACACAAGAGATTAGTAAAAAAGCTAGCGGACCTGGCAGACATAACAGAAAAGGCACTGCAATAGGTCAGAGAATACCACACGAGAAGGCATCAGCGAGTCATGGTACGTGATGAGGTATCAGAGTGGGCATCTGTGACGAGCGGGGTTCCACAGGGGTCAGTCCTAGACTCAGAAGTGTCCCTGTTTGCAGATGATGTGAAGTTAATGAGGAGAATTCAGTCAGAGGAGGACAAGGCAACTGGCTTCTGGAGTTCAACCCCAGTAAGTGCCAAGTCATGAAGATAGGTAAAGGGCAAAGAATACCACAGAGTACAGTCTAGAGGGCCAAAGACTACAAACCTCACTCAAGGAAAAGGATCTTGGAGTGTGTGTAATACCGAACACATCTGAAGCGTACATCAACCAAATAACTGCTGCAGCCTAAGAATAGCATTCCGGCATCTCAGTAAGGACTGACTCGTTCCGGACGCTGTACACCGTGTACGTCAGTCCCATATTGGAGTATGCAGCGCCAGTTTGGAACCCACACATGGCCAAGCACACCAGGAAACTAGAGAAGTGCAAAGGTTTGTAACGAGACTAGTTCCGGAGCAAAAGGGGTATGTCCTACGAGAAGAGGTTAAGGGAACTCGACCTGACGACACTGAAGAGGAGGGACAGGGGGGGGACATGATAACGACATATAAAATACTGAGAGGAATCAGAGACAGGATGTTCCAGAGATGGGACACAGCAAAAAGGAGTCAGAATTGGAAGTTGAAGACTCAGATGAGCCACATGGATGTTAGGAAGTGTTTCTTCACTTATCGAATTGTCAGGAAGTGGAACAGTCTGGAAACTGAGGTAGTGGAGGCAGGTGCCATACACAGCTTTAAGAACAGGTACGATAAAGTTCATGGAGCAGGGATAGAGTGGACCTAGTGGGGACCAGTGAAGAGGCGAGATCAGGAGCTAAGACTCGACCCCTGCAACCACAAATAGGTGAGTACACACACACATCCACCCGCACACCCACCCACCCATCCACACCCACACATGATGATTCATATGTGTGTCTGTTACCTGCAGCAGCTGGTAATAGACGCAAATAGGTAGGTAGGAGCTCGGCTGGTGTGAGGCGCAGCTTGGGAGACTGCAAGTAGTACACAGTGTGGTACACAACCAATATAGCTGACTGACTCCCATAAACCAGTAAATTCTAACCACACTCTGCTTCTCACAGGACACACATACAAACAAGAGTGACTGAGTGACTGCTGTGGATAACAACAGTCGGCATAGTAACAGAGTGATTAGGACGGAGAGAAATAAGTGGAATACAAAAAGATTCAATTCTTGGGCCTAAGAGAAATGTTTATCAGTGAGTAAATAACATGACAGAATGCCTTGGACACGCTACAAGAATGATATAACATGTTCAAGAAAGATAAAAAATTGTCGAAGTAGATGAGGAGAGTACTACAGGAAGGGAAGGCCAGAGGAAGAGTACCACCTGAGAGGAAAGCCAAGAGTGTGTAGAATAGAGGCTGTGTGTCGGAATTTCATAAGTGCGAGGTTAGTGGTCCCTGTTTCAGTCACGAAATTCAGTCCAGAACCTGCCGCCCCATTCTGGCTCCTGAAATAATGGGTACTCACCTCTATTACTACACAGGAGGTAGTGCAATATCAGACAGATGTAACGGTAAATCTCTGGTGGAGATGGTGGCCAAACCCTTTACACGTGGTCACTGAGTACAGATGAATTTTCAATGTTTCGAGTTACTTACGTGTGGGGGAGGTGAAGGTCGGGGATACCTGAGAAATACCTGTGCGAGCCACGCTAACTGCCTGGTCCAGCTAGCGAGAGTTGATCGCGGAGATATATTTCAGTCACGTGCGGTAATGACTAATTCACTGCGATGGGTCGCGAGGTAAGTGTTCACCCTCTCACTACTGAAGTGTGACTAAAGATGCCGGGCACGCCTAAGGCCGGCGTGGTGACCCAAAGGAGGGCATAGTGGTGCCCAGGGCATATATTGTGTAGGACACGTGCGGAGAACTAAGCTAAACTGTCTAACTTTAACTTGTCTAAATAAATGTAGTAGTAATGTACAGTACAGTAGCCTGTGAAGGCATAGCAACTCGGCTAAGTCTTTGAAATTAAGTGTATATACAGAACTGACACCTTTCTTAGGCATCGTCTCTCCTACCTAACTCCCCAGCTAGGTGATGGCTGTAACGATTCTGGGAAATCACCTATTTCCCACAGAGAGGAAGAGTACAACCTGAGAGAAAGACCAGAGGAAGAATACGACCCGAGAGGAAGGCCAAAGGAAAGAGTACCACCTGAGATGCAGTACACTACATACATACACAAATAACCAGCACATAAATGAGAGAATTTGTTATTTACACTACATACATGCTTAACCCCAGTACTGGAGTACGTACCATCACCATGGGCCTCTCATATTTTTGCTACAAGGTTGTTATCATAACTAAGAGTGCTGGGATATGAAAATAACATTTTCTTATAAGTTTTAAATTAATTTAATGCACTCGTGGTGGCCCGGTGGCCTGGTGGCTAAAGCTCCCGCTTCACACACGGAGGGCCCGGGTTCGATTCCCGGCGGGTGGAAACATTTCGACACGTTTCCTTACACCTGTTGTCCTGTTCACCTAGCAGCAAATAGGTACCTGGGTGTTAGTCGACTGGTGTGGGTCGCATCCTGGGGGACAAGATTAAGGACCCCAATGGAAATAAGTTAGACACTCCTCGATGACGCACTGACTTTCTTGGGTTATCCTGGGTGGCTAACCCTCCGGGGTTAAAAATCCGAACGAAATCTTATCTTATCTTATCACTAAATATGTGTGTGTCATTCAGTGCACCGCGAGGATAGGTTAAAAGAACTCGATCGCTCATTACTAGAAAGCCCAAGACCCTGAGAATACGTGATGACCTCAGAAAGGCTTAATAAGGATGATGACATATGTAGATCGTGATAACATAATTCACAATGAGTTGAAGCGAGACAGGAATGAAGAATTTCTTTTGTGCGAGAGTAGTAATGAAATTGAATTCTCTAGAAATGTTTTGGGGGAGCCAGCTCAATACATGGATTTAGAACTATATACGACAGGAGCCACACACTTGTCAGTCGAAGCATAAAGGCGGAGTCCATGAGCCAGAACTCAACCCAATAGACTTAGACATGTGGTCAGAGTGTTCAGCACACAACCGAAAGAACTTGGATTCGATACCCTCCCCAGGTCAACTAGGTTTTATTATTATTATTATTATTATTATTATTATATTATTATTATTATTATTATTATTGTAGACATGAAACACCTGGAGCATCACTGTGATCCAGTTACTACAAACGGGTACTATGTAACCATACCGTGAACACTCACACGTGAACTATGAAAATGAAACAACACACACTCACAGCGAAGAGGCGGGGCCAGGAGCTGTGAATTGACCCCTGCAACCACATATGAGTAGACACATACACACGAGATACAAATGTCAAAGGAACGCTTCAACGAACGAGGGATTTAAAAATAATAATCAGAAGGGCAGTGAGTGCCTGGGAGCACTTGCGAGTAGTGGAGGCAAAATCCATAGTCTAGTTCAAGTGTAAATAGAACAAAATCTACGAGGTTAAGGAACCATCACGCCAGTAAACTGTTGGTCAAGAAGCTGGACAGAAATGCTAGCAACCCTCAAGCTAATGTGATTATGCTCGCCTGAACAAGTTCACAAACCCTCTTATACACGCTCACACACGCTCATACACGCTCTCATACACACTATCAGACACGTTCACAGTGAACCTAAAGCACTCACAGTGATAATGACACTTGCACCTAACCTCAATACATCCATCTCAAACTTTTCTCTCGTGGTAGTCAATAGTGTAATATAACACAGTAATATAGCAGTGGCTTGTGAAGATAGTGCTGCGTGCAGTGGCGGCTGTCAAGACAGAATGCATTGAGTGTTGTTGGACGAGGTGGCTGACGTAGATAGTTTGGTCTAGATTGCCACCCACAGACCGGGCCGCGGGGGCGTTGACCCCCGGAACTCTCTCCAGGTAAACTCCAGGTAAACCTCATGAGATAGCGCGCTACAACTCTTCATAAGACCCACTACAACTCTTTACAAGACCCACTACAACTCTTTACAAGACCCACTACAACTCTTCACAAAACCCGCTACAACTCTTCACAAGACCCACTACAACTCTTCACAAAACCCGCTACAACTCTTCACAAGACCCACTACAATATAACGATGTTTTCATGCACTTACTGTCTCCTCGCAGGTAGACTGACACACACTTTCCGGGCGACGTAGTGAGGGAGCTGGACAACACCAGTGAGACATGGGTAGGAGCTGACTGATACAGTGAGGGACGAGGAGGTACTGAGGAGGGATGTGGGGGGAGGGGAAGGGGTCCAGAAGAGTTCAGAGAGGCGGGGAACAGGGTAGGAGGGGAGAGGTGTACTTAGTAGAAAAGAGGTGGGGGTGAGAATGGATGATGAGGTGTTAGAAGAGGCGGGGCTCCAATACGTGATGGAGGAGGAACAGATGGAATGAAAACATAAAACAATGAAGTCACAGAAACAAAGAAGAATCAATCCATACATTGCTTAAGAGAAGTCAGCCGTCGGGATATCACATTCCATCACTAAAATGATCAAATGTACAAATATACTTCACTTTTTTCATTTACGCTCTGCCACTTCAGGACGTATAACTGTAGTATTAATACAGACCTGAAACTGGGTGTACCAGAAATTTACAAAGTCACTGCAATAAACTACCACTGAAACGTAATATTTACATTGCTCACAATGTGAAAATTATATTATTTTACTTGGCAATACCATTTCTCATTTATATGTTTCTTAGAACCTAATTCTTTAATATAATAATGTCTCTAAATTAACGCATAAAGAAATGTAGAGCATCTTCGACAAAAAATATTTCATCAACTCTCTTTATAATTTTCAAATTATTAAATTATGTTCTTGAATGTTTCATTATTAATATAATTCCACAACAACAGTCTGTGGTATTACATTTCTCAATGGGAAAAACATCTGCATAAAACTCTGCCGAGCACAAAGTTATTATAAAACGATATCATATATTTTCGTAATATATTTTCTTAATTTAGCAAAAATCAATCTAATCATTAATGTTCTTGTTAAGAAATATTGATGAGAAGACGGTCAACAAAGTGACAAACTCGACTAGACGGTAGCTGCCATGCCAGACATTTTTATCTCAATAGACTGACGTAAATTCTCTGAAGTGTATACACACAAACCTCTGTGTATGTTATATATTCTTATTAAATGCAATTCAAAGTTATTTTCAATATTTATGCCGGCGTTTCAACGCTTACGTAACGTAATCGGAAAAATTTGAATCGGCGTTCATCATTACTATCCTCTTTTAGAGTGGACATTATCCTGACATTTTCAAATTTCGTATTGTGTTTATAGCGTAAACACAATCCTGTGGAATATGATTTATGTTTTGTATTGTGTAGCTGCAGGGAATAACGTATGAATTCAGAGGGAGTGCAGAGATATATACCGCTTTGCATAACGAACAATGAGGGTGGTAGGTACTGTGCATTCCTTCCAGCCTGAGTCCAGTCGTTATCGACTAGTGGTTGGTATGTGTATGTACTTAAGTTGTACTATTAGAGATGTGCTCTCTTAGTAGTGCTCTCAGAGTTGTACCCTCAAAGTTGTACTCGCACAGTTGTAGTCTTGAATGCTGAACTTTGGCTCGCAGGTTCAGCTATTTAATCAACTAATTCTTTATTCAACAAACATATCAATCTTGATCATTTTAGTGTAGAAAAAAGTATTACTTTTGCTTCCGTGCCTGTCAATATTCCATTTGGAAAATACATCGTTTATCAAAGACACAGAATCTTAAGCTACATAAACATGTTGATACAAATATTGTGAAACTGCGCTACATGCGAGTCCGCAGATGATGGCACAGTACAGCTCAGATTAGCCAGTGGTCACTGCTGCTGTGCTCCACAACACAGCCATGAGGTACTCCACCTTCACAAGTGAATCTCAACACACCGTCTTACCACCTCCCCGGCGTAGGCCATCTTGTGGCAAAGATCTGTTAGTTTTTTTGTTTGTTTGTTTGTTATGTTTCATCCCCAATGAGCTAATTAGATTTGTTTTGGTCACTGCTTGATCAGTGAGGTTTCACATTATAATAATAATAATATCTTTATTTACTACAAGTACATGTACAAGGTATACAGTCCTAGCTGACAACAATGACATACTACTATATAGAAACTCCCTTGTTATGCTCTGCATTTCGGGCAAATTAGGTCAGTGTCCCAGGATGCGACCCACACCAGTCCACTAACACCCAGGTACCCATTTTACTGATGGGGAACATAGACAACAGATGGAAAGAAACACGTCCAATGTTTCTACTCTGGCTGGGAATCGAACCCAGGCCCTCGCCGTGTGAAGCGAGAGCGTTAACCACCAGGCCACCACCCCAGCCCCGTGTACCTCAAACCCCTCAGTAGGGCTGAGGAGCTACAACTCTACTTCCTCAACACACCCAGGAACTACAAATTAATTATCCCAAGAGGACCAAGAGCTAAAGATCAACAACTTAAAGGGGTAAAAAAATTTTAGTTTTACTCTCTCTCAAGAAGTCTTGTATCTGTAGCTTAAAATTCTCCTAAGTCCCGAAGGATGTACAGGAGCTGTACCTCAACACCCCTCAATATTCCCAAGAGCTAAAGTTAAACCCAGTTAAACACTAACAACATAATTCACGAAGCACCCGCACTTAGGAAAGGAAAATTATGACGTTGCGGTCCAGTTGTGATGTAACACGAGCCCAGAGACTGATCTATGTCTCTCATGCTAATATGTTACCCCTTCAAGGGAGGGGGAAGAGAATCCCTTGAACGAGTGGAGGATTCTTGATAGAAGGGATTAAATTAAGAGCCCTGCATACCCAAGTGCTCTATAACCCCGTGAATTGATATGGTTTATTTCCTATGCAGCACTTGCCATCTTATATATATATATATAGTAGAGTAGTAGGTTGGTAGACAGCAACCACCCAGGGAAGTACTACCGTCCTGCCAGATGACTGTGAAACAAAAACCTGTAACTGTTTTGCATGATGGTAGGATTGCTGGTTTTCTTTTTCTGTCTCATAAACACGCTAGATAACAGGGATATCTTGCTACTCCTACTTACACTTTGGTCACACTTCACAGACACGCACATGCATATATATATATACATACATCTAGGTTTTTCTCCTTTTTCTAAATAGCTCTTGTTCTTTTTATTTCTTCTATTGTCCATGGGGAAGTGGAAAAGAATCTTTCCTCCGTAAGCCATGCGTGTCGTATGAGGCGACTAAAATGCCGGGAGCAATGGGCTAGTAACCCCTTCTCCTGTATACATTTACTAAAAAAGAGAAGAAGAAAAACTTTATAAAACTGGGTTGTTTAAATGTGCGTGGATGTAGTGCGGATGACAAGAAACAGATGATTGCTGATGTTATGAATGAAAAGAAGTTGGATGTCCTGGCTCTAAGCGAAACAAAGCTGAAGGGGGTAGGAGAGTTTCAGTGGGGGGAAATAAATGGGATTAAATCTGGAGTATCTGAGAGAGTTAGAGCAAAGGAAGGAGTAGCAGTAATGTTAAATGATCAGTTATGGAAGGAGAAAAGAGAATATGAATGTGTAAATTCGAGAATTATGTGGATTAAAGTAAAGGTTGGATGCGAGAAGTGGGTCATAATAAGCGTGTATGCACCTGGAGAAGAGAGGAATGCAGAGGAGAGAGAGAGATTTTGGGAGATGTTAAGTGAATGTATAGGAGCCTTTGAACCAAGTGAGAGAGTAATTGTGGTAGGGGACCTGAATGCTAAAGTAGGAGAAACTTTTAGAGAGGGTGTGGTAGGTAAGTTTGGGGTGCCAGGTGTAAATGATAATGGGAGCCCTTTGATTGAACTTTGTATAGAAAGGGGTTTAGTTATAGGTAATACATATTTTAAGAAAAAGAGGATAAATAAGTATACACGATATGATGTAGGGCGAAATGACAGTAGTTTGTTGGATTATGTATTGGTAGATAAAAGACTGTTGAGTAGACTTCAGGATGTACATGTTTATCGAGGGGCCACAGATATATCAGATCACTTTCTAGTTGTAGCTACACTGAGAGTAAAAGGTAGATGGGATACAAGGAGAATAGAAGCATCAGGGAAGAGAGAGGTGAAGGTTTATAAACTAAAAGAGGAGGCAGTTGGGGTAAGATATAAACAGCTATTGGAGGATAGATGGGCTAATGAGAGCATAGGCAATGGGGTCGAAGAGGAATGGGGTAGGTTTAAAAATGTAGTGTTAGAGTGTTCAGCAGAAGTTTGTGGTTACAGGAAAGTGGGTGCAGGAGGGAAGAGGAGCGATTGGTGGAATGATGATGTAAAGAGAGTAGTAAGGGAGAAAAAGTTAGCATATGAGAAGTTTTTACAAAGTAGAAGTGATGCAAGGAGGGAAGAGTATATGGAGAAAAAGAGAGAGGTTAAGAGAGTGGTGAAGCAATGTAAAAAGAGAGCAAATGAGAGAGTGGGTGAGCTGTTATCAACAAATTTTGTTGAAAATAAGAAAAAGTTTTGGAGTGAGATTAACAAGTTAAGGAAGCCTAGAGAACAAATGGATTTGTCAGTTAAAAATAGGAGAGGAGAGTTATTAAATGGAGAGTTAGAGGTATTGGGAAGATGGAGGGAATATTTTGAGGAATTGTTAAATGTTGATGAAGATAGGGAAGCTGTGATTTCGTGTATAGGGCAAGGAGGAATAACATCTTGTAGGAGTGAGGAAGAGCCAGTTGTGAGTGTGGGGGAAGTTCGTGAGGCAGTAGGTAAAATGAAAGGGGGTAAGGCAGCCGGGATTGATGGGATAAAGATAGAAATGTTAAAAGCAGGTGGGGATATAGTTTTGGAGTGGTTGGTGCAATTATTTAATAAATGTATGGAAGAGGGTAAGGTACCTAGGGATTGGCAGAGAGCATGCATAGTTCCTTTGTATAAAGGCAAAGGGGATAAAAGAGAGTGCAAAAATTATAGGGGGATAAGTCTGTTGAGTGTACCTGGTAAAGTGTATGGTAGAGTTATAATTGAAAGAATTAAGAGTAAGACGGAGAATAGGATAGCAGATGAACAAGGAGGCTTTAGGAAAGGTAGGGGGTGTGTGGACCAGGTGTTTACAGTGAAACATATAAGTGAACAGTATTTAGATAAGGCTAAAGAGGTCTTTGTGGCATTTATGGATTTGGAAAAGGCGTATGACAGGGTGGATAGGGGGGCAATGTGGCAGATGTTGCAAGTGTATGGTGTAGGAGGTAGGTTACTGAAAGCAGTGAAGAGTTTTTACGAGGATAGTGAGGCTCAAGTTAGAGTATGTAGAAAAGAGGGAAATTTTTTCCCAGTAAAAGTAGGCCTTAGACAAGGATGTGTGATGTCACCGTGGTTGTTTAATATATTTATAGATGGGGTTGTAAGAGAAGTAAATGCGAGGGTCTTGGCAAGAGGCGTGGAGTTAAAAGATAAAGAATCACACACAGGGTGGGAGTTGTCACAGCTGCTCTTTGCTGATGACACTGTGCTCTTGGGAGATTCTGAAGAGAAGCTGCAGAGATTGGTGGATGAATTTGGTAGGGTGTGCAAAAGAAGAAAATTAAAGGTGAATACAGGAAAGAGTAAGGTTATGAGGATAACAAAAAGATTAGGTGATGAAAGATTGAATATCAGATTGGAGGGAGAGAGTATGGAGGAGGTGAACGTATTCAGATATTTGGGAGTGGACGTGTCAGCGGATGGGTCTATGAAAGATGAGGTGAATCATAGAATTGATGAGGGAAAAAGAGTGAGTGGTGCACTTAGGAGTCTGTGGAGACAGAGAACTTTGTCCTTGGAGGCAAAGAGGGGAATGTATGAGAGTATAGTTTTACCAACGCTCTTATATGGGTGTGAAGCATGGTGATGAATGTTGCAGCGAGGAGAAGGCTGGAGGCAGTGGAGATGTCATGTCTGAGGGCAATGTGTGGTGTGAATATAATGCAGAGAATTCGTAGTTTGGAAGTTAGGAGGAGGTGCGGGATTACCAAAACTGTTGTCCAGAGGGCTGAGGAAGGGTTGTTGAGGTGGTTCGGACATGTAGAGAGAATGGAGCGAAACAGAATAACTTCAAGAGTGTATCAGTCTGTAGTGGAAGGAAGGCGGGGTAGGGGTCGGCCTAGGAAGGGTTGGAGGGAGGGGGTAAAGGAGGTTTTGTGTGCGAGGGGCTTGGACTTCCAGCAGGCATGCGTGAGCGTGTTTGATAGGAGTGAATGGAGACAAATGGCTTTTAATACTTGACGTGCTGTTGGAGTGTGAGCAAAGTAACATTTATGAAGGGATTCAGGGAAACCGGCAGGCCGGACTTGAGTCCTGGAGATGGGAAGTACAGTGCCTGCACTCTGAAGGAGGGGTGTTAATGTTGCAGTTTAAAAACTGTAGTGTAAAGCACCCTTCTGGCAAGACAGTGATGGAGTGAATGATGGTGAAAGTTTTTCTTTTTCGGGCCACCCTGCCTTAGTGGGAATCGGCCAGTGTGATAATAAAAAATAATATATATATATATATATATATATATATATATATATATATATATATATATATATATATATATATATATATATATATATATATATATATATATATATATATATATATATATATATATATGCAATAAGATCACAGTAAACAGGTGATTTCAAAATATGCAAAACAACCACTCTGAAAGAATAGAGAAATTCCAAGCGCTTTCGTGACTACTCACATTATCAAGGAACTATGAAAGTGAAGCATCCAAGGAAGCTATATAAGGGGTCCGGCCAGCACCTCACTATCAGATCCCACAACGGTTAAATACGTGACGCGCGGCGAGCCAACTTGGATAGGTCCTTTGCTTGGGGGTGAGTTTTGCAAAGGACCTATCCAAGTTGGCTCGCCGCGCGTCACGTGTTTAACCGTTGTGGGATCTGATAGTGAGGTGCTGGCCGGACCCCTTATATAGCTTCCTTGGATGCTTCACTTTCATAGTTCCTTGATAATGTGAGTAGTCACGAAAGCGCTTGGAATTTCTCTATTCTTTCAGAGTGGTTGTTTTGCATATATATATATATATATATATATATATAATATATAATATATATATATATATATATATATTATATATTTATATATATATATATATATATTATATAAATAAGGATGACAAGTGTTGCATAGGAAATAAACCATATCAATTCACGGGGTTATAGAGCACTTGCCGGGATGGTCATAACGCCCTTAAATCTCGTAAAATGTCTCCGTGGGTTTTAAAGTTCATCTCAATAACGTTACAGTCAGCATCGGCTTCAGCCTTGATGTGGTCGCTGGCCGGGAGGAAGAAGTGATACCATCCTTGACTGTTTCCTTATCGTCTTGTGTGTATCAGCTATGTAAATCAATTGTAATACATGAAATGGAGGTCTGATAAAGAACCATTCTAACCTCTGTGTTCTTTTGTGCTTTCTCTCCTAGGATGAGCATCGGGTGTACAGTAAACTAGCTGCTCAGGTAATACAACTGAAAGCTGTTATATTTGCAGAAAACTCTTAAATCAATCTCTAAATAAATAAATTACCTTCCCACGTTTCTTACAATCATCTTCTATTTTCTTTGCAACACTACTCGCACTGGTCTGGTTAAGTGCTTCACAAATCACTCAGCATTGTCCCAGCATGACAAGGCTCACGCACATCTATTCCTCACTTGTCGCATTTATAAGAACCATCTTTCCTCACGACACTCGATGAAACGTCAATGTTACCATGGCTAGGCAGTGTTTCCCACAGTCTCCGCGCTAGTCACCCCAAACCTCACTAGCACTGTCTACGTACATATTGTACGTATATGTGTGCGTGTTATTATCTACATTATATCGGCATCACCATACCTCCCCAGTTATTCACTATCATCATAGTAAATAAATATATTATTATTATTATTATTATTATTATTATTATTATTATTATTATTACAGAACATACATAGACAGAGGGATCGACATACATACCTGTCTCCGATGGTCTTCCTCCCGCCACTGGTTGGTTGGTTAATTAGGTTTAAAGTCAATCGACTACACAGGAGTTATTAAGGCAGCATGTATACAGCCTGTTCGCCATTAGTCAAGAATACTTTAATCAGTCTCACTATATATACACTAAGAGACATACACCTTCCGGTGAATGCGCTGCTGCTACTGGACTTACTGTTTGAAGAAGGACTCTTCATCACTGTCTTCTGCCCCGAAACTCACTCTAACCCCTTGTTGATACTTCCAGAGCTCCTTATCATATTCCTCCTTGGTTTTCAATAGGCTGTGGAAAAACCCGTCATCACAAAAGATGTTTCGGACTCATAGTTATCCATCGGAGGTTGTTTTTATGTGATTTAATTCCTCTTCATGGTGTACATACAGTATAGGAGAGCCCCCCTCCCGTCCGCATATTCAGCACCTCTTCAGTGTTCCATATTATCGATGACTTTCAACTAAGCCATAGTTGGAACATAATGAACAATGGCTAATTTTGAAAGCAACGAAAACGATGAACACTAAAGAGAGGTGCTGTATATGTGGGGCCATTATGTATATACTTTGGAAACATTATACATTATTTGGGAACAAAAAAAAAAAACGTTCGCAGTTCCTTTTGTTACTGTTTGTAAGATCTTTACGGAGGGAATCACAAGCCAGGTGTTTCCTAAGTCCTATATTATTTTGTATTATTATACCCTTATAAATCATGTAGCGCCTGTGGAATGAGATTTAATTAGATTTGATCCCATACAGACATATTTTGTCCAGTCAGTGGATATATTCAATCTGGGCAGCTCTCGGTTATTTTGCAACTGGTTAACAACAGTCCTGCAAGACACACACAGCTCACCAGGTGGAACTGCTAGTTAACGACAGTCCTGCAAGATACACACAGCTCACCAGGTGGAGCTGCTAGTTAACAACAGTCCTGCAAATACACACAGCTCACCAGGTGGAGCTGCTAGTTAACTAGTTTGCTAGTTAACCAAGAACCTGTGGATAAATACCCGAAGATAAGTACATATGGATAAGCATCCATGGGTAAGTGCCTATGGATAAATACTTATGGGCAAATACCTCTGGATAAATACCCATAGATAAGCACTTGTGGATAAATACCCATGGATAAGTACCTGTAGATAATTACCCACGAGCAGGTACTTCTACAGCAACTTTTTAAGTATTGATTCGAGTTTTCGGCATGTGAGTTCCAGCTCCTGGGCCCGTCTCTTGGCTGACATAGTGCTTATTTATCCCTTGGAGATCCATCGCTTCATACTTTTGATCTCAGGAATCAGATTTACCCCTCCCCTTCCTCGGATCAAGCCCCATTGCGTTGTATTCTCCAGGCTTTGTAATAACAAAAATAATGGCCACTTCATAGCCAATATTTACAGACGAGTAACAATATATACTTATCACATCAAATAAATCTTGATCAGATATATCTTTAAAATGAAATTTCAAGAAATACAATTTTGGGGGAGGTAAATGCTTTATTTATTGATAATCTAAAATATTGTAGACGTGCAATCGTTAATAAAAACTGTGTAGGTAGAGTACTGCAAGTTACTTAAAAAATCATGCATATGGGGTCCAAAATAGATTCAAAATTATATATATAATATTTTTAGTGAGTGGGTGATACGAGAGGTTGAGCTGCATGACGTATGTAGGTAGATCAATGGTCATGAAGGCTCGCTGCAGTTTATGAACACTGTGCCGTAAAAAAAAATACCTCGCCACCATGCAGCTCCTCGTTCTAAGTTGTGATGAATCAGAATAATGTCTTGACATGAGAGGAGCAAGGTTATAAGATGGTGTTTGGTACGTCAGGAAGCAGGAGCAATTTTATACGGTGGTATCTGCTTCGTCAGGAAGTAGTAGCAAGGTTTTACGGTTGTGTTCGCTTCGTCAGGAATATCCACCGAACGTGATTCCAGCAGGAACATCAGCACTGCCGCCGTCAGTACAGGTACTGCTTCTTGAGTACATTGGTCACACACAACTCTAGCAGAAACATCAGCGTCGCCGAGGCCAGACCTACGGGGTTACAGTTACTTACTCATATAACAGACTTAAATATCATAACAAAGTCTCCTAAAATTAGCCTCCTTTCTGCGAGTCATACAACATAGGAAGTGGCAGAGGCTTGATCCTCTTGGTAGTAGGCTCCTTCGACCAGTCTGGCTGGTGACGATCTACAGGGTTACGGAATACTCTTCTTAAGCGTCAATAAAAAAAATTTTTCAGAGCCTTCGTTGCATTCACACTATTGACTTTATAAGCGCCTTGAAGCGGGGGAAGTGTTTTTTTTTTATTCAAGAAATTGGAGCTACCCTTCATTCCCTCCGCTAATTCTGTATCAAATTTCCACTCTAACATTTTTAAGGTAAAACTGAGTAAAAATCTTAATATTATATAATACAAAAAAGCATGATATTTTAAAATATTTTCTCGTTTGTTGAGGTTTTCAATATTTTTTTAATTTTTTAGTAATGTAACAATACTTTCAATGTGATACTTTTTAACCGGTTATATAACCTGCCAACAGCAGTAGGAAGGAACCAACGAAAGCGTTGAGGTCGAGGGAGGAGACCGAGCCTGACGAGGTACTGACGGAGGGCGGCAGCAGGCACTGTGATGTGTTGCTCGTCTCCTTCTTCAACCACAGGTCTATCAAGCCAGACTCCTTCACTCTCCGAATCCTTAGATGGCAGCACAAGTTAGTTGGATACAAAGAACAAAAAGGTACAATACCGTGACTGGAACAATACACAAATATCCCGCACATAGGAAAGATATTTGTGTATAGTTGTATACCTTCATTATCCACCCATGCCCATCCTGTGAGGGATGGAGAGGTAGTCACTCAATGCCCATCCTGTGAGGGATGGGGAGGTAGTCACCCCATGCCTATCCTGTTAGGGATGGGGAGGTAGTCACTATATGCCCATCCTGTGAGGGATGGGGAGGTAGTCACCCTATGCCTATCCTGTTAGGGATGGGGAGGTAGTCACCCATGCCCACCCTATGAGGGATGGGGAGGTAGTCACTCCATGCCCATCCTGTTAGGGATGGGGAGGAAGTCACCCCATGCCCATCCACTGGGCGATAGCACAGTGAGTAATGGTGTGTGCGAAGTGGATAGTAATTACGAATCAAAGATTTGAAAGATAATGCTTCAGAGTATATAGAAGAGGGTAATACAAGTGCAGAGTAATTAAAAGAAATCAGAGTGTGTTTTAGTTAAAGCTTTCATGTGCCCTCACAACTACTGGACGTATTTATACTACTGTCAGTAAAATGTTTGTGGATTTTCCTCAGTAAAGCATATTATTATTATTATTATTATTATTATTATTATTATTATTATTATTATTATTATTATTATTATTATTATTCATAGTTATTAGGAGAGGATCATTTTGTTCAAGGTAAGAATAGAGGAGTTAAGGAATAAATGAAATCAAGGAAAAACGATGTTCGAAGGTGCTTAGGAGGTAATGTTTGACGGCTCGATATTGCAGAGTGAAACAACAACACTACCAGGTCGATACCACAAGAGACGTCACTTAACCAATAATCAGCTTTTTCTTTATAGGAAGAGTTATTCTTGAAGGCCATTGCTATCAAGACGTTGGTATATGCTGCCTCTCGGGAGATATACAGGTGACACTGCCCCGAGGTACTGTAAAACAAGTAATTATTACTGTAATTGTATATAACACAGAGAAGTAGATGAATAAAACACACGTAACACCTGGGTATCTTCACTGAAACACTGATCACCTCAAATTACCTGTCCACGTTTTCCATCGTCTCCGACATTATTCTCTCCATTGGATTGAGAAGGTCACTGGTTGGCGATACGTCTCCGCCAGTAAAGATATCCAGGTATTACACATAAATTATTCAAAGGGAAGTCAAGGCTCAGAACCTATGCTGTGTCGTACACAGTCGATCAGACAAGTTGAACTCTCATCGTACATCTTTTAAAAAAAATTGTCATTAATATTTACATTGTTATGAATTAACAGGGTCTACATATTTTTAATTTTGCCCTGAAACTAATTCAGCATTTGCATAACGTTGGTAAAATTAATATAATTTAGCTCAATCAGTAATGCTCAGATTGATTCATGTACAGTGCCCAGGAGTACACGATCGACACCATGCCCAGCCCTTCTAGGGCAGGGTAGGTGCCTGAGCCGGAGCTTGCAGCTCAAAAGACTGTCATTCCCATTAGCCCCCTTGTGGCGGGGATGGCAGACCAGAGAGGCCTAGCTTGTGGCTAGGCCTGGGGACAATTGGTCCCAAAGATGAGGGGGTACTTGTGCCTCCTCCCATGGGAGACTTAGGTCTCAGATACTCCCTAAAGAGGGAGCCAAGGCCGGGCCACCACTTGGACAAGGCCCGGGCCGGGAGAATACCGGCGAATCTTTAATAATAATAATAAGTGCCCAGGAGGTCCCCCACTCTGCATGTTTGTCAAATTGATCGTTGCTTTATAAGCTAATATCGAATACTCTGCATGAAACAGATGACCAAAAGCTCCAGCTGAGGGTCATCATAAGACTATATATAACCTGCGTCAGGAAACACTTGTCCTGTTTCCTGACAAAACTTATCCATCATAACCTAACCAGCTCATTCTTCGTGCACAGGCTGTACTTTAATCAAAATTGACAGACTGAACACATCATCTCCAGGCTGAAGAACTGATTCCTTCAAACTCCTTATTTTCCATATTTATATATATATGATTTTAATCCTTCAGTGGGATGCATTGATATCGGTGAAGGTTCCTTAATTCAAGAAACTGGAACTGGTTTTTCCTTCCTAAAATCATTACCTCCACTTTCCCAGGTACTGTAAGACCCTCTGAATTTAGCGCTTCCCCATGAATAAAATATCACCGGTTAAGAAATCCGTTGAGTTGATGAATTAGTCACTTGTATAATACTTGGGTATCTATTGTGGGAACGTTTCATCAGCCAGTGGCTTCATCAGTCTAATACAGAAAGGAGCCACGGAAAATAAGGAGTTTGAAGGAATCAGTTCTTCAGCCTGGAGATGATGTGTTCAGTCTGTCAATTTTGATTAAAGTACAGCCTGTGCACGAAGAATGAGCTGGTTAGGTTATGATGGATAAGTTTTGTCAGGAAACAGGACAAGTGTTTCCTGACGCAGGTTATAGTCTTATGATGACCCTCAGCTGGAGCTTTTGATCATCTGACCGAGGCCTTCCACTGGCTTACCGGGCCCACCCCTTTTACATTATGGTAATGATTATAACCAATTCTACTGTATACTGGAGACAGTTGATGTGAAGCAGGTGGAGGCGGCGTCACCACTGGACAAAAATCCACTAGTGGAAGCAGGTCTTGTCTCTAAGTTAGGCAAGGCAGAAAAATTCTCTGTATCAAGAGTCTAAGATGTTGCTGAGTCTGACAGCATTATTTCCGCGGTTCATCTCTGTATTGGACTGACGAAGCTACTGGCTGGTGAAACATGTCTACACTGAAGATACCCAAGTGCTGTACTAGTAAAATATAACTACAATAAAGTTTCTGAGTACCATGCAGGTACTGAATGAGTCTTAACATTTAAATATGAAAAAACTCTTTAAAAGCTATGGGATTAGGCTTTTTTTTATTTTAAATTTATGTGGAAAATTTGCTTTTTCCTAAAAATTCTTGAAAATTCTTTAAAAATAGCTTCGGAATTTTCACAAAAACTAAAATAACCAAAATCCCACAGAATATATACACTGTGAGGTATATGTTCTCGCAGCGTTAATACACTGAGAGTTGACTTCAATCTCTATTTTAGGGATTAAAGTATTCTTGTCCGGTGGTGAACAATTTACACACAGTCTTAATGACCCTCTGGTGTAGTCGATAGACTTTAAACCCCAGCAACCAACCTGAAGTCCCAGGACATGGCCTTGTACATGGTGGTTTTGTCGCAGACGCCAGCTAACTGACCTCCAGCGATGAGTGACCTGTCCTGCCAGCAGTCTCTGAAGGCACCAGCACGACCGTCAAACATTGCCTTCCGTATCCCCTCCGTCGCTTCCTGAAGCATACATACTGGAACACTGAGCTTCCTGACACACACACACACACACACACACACACACACACACACGGGAACACTGAGCTTCCTAGCTCACACGGGTTCGAAGCTTCACATAGTTATTTACATAACATAGTAATAAGACTAAAAATGATAACGATAACAAACAACATCACTTAATTGTACTCATCCGTATCTTCAGAGTGCCTTCATCCTGGTGACAGGCTCTTGATCCAAAGAAATGAAGTTACCTTACCATTTCCAGAATCAATCTTGATGCCTCTCACCCCTCCCATGATCCTTATGAGTTTAGCGCTTTCCCATGAACGTAGTAATAACTACCTCAGTCTGAGGATAGGATGTTGGAAGGTCGGGGTGAAGAAGGACTTGAAACAGGATCCACACACAGTTTCAAGAAGAGGTATGATAGCACCCACCAGACTAGGAATGTGAATAATTGAGAGCCAAGTGGATCCAGGAACCGAGGCTCGACCCTTCCCTTCTTTCCTTTGCATCCACAAATAGCGCTAAATTCGTACGGATCATACAGCGCTAGGGGAGGAAATTATGTTTGATTCAAGAATAGCATGGGGTAACTGCAGGTCCTAAGATCAAGAGCCCTGAACCGCCATCAAGACACCGCCCCTGAAGGAAGAGTTACTGAAAGCGCACTTTTCGAGTGATGATGTGACTCAGTTGAGGTTTTTTCCTGCCATCGCTGTCACCTTAAATAATTTTCTGAGCGAATGAATGAGTGAATATGTTAGTGAATGAATGAGTGCATAAGTGAATTAGAAAAGAAGCATTCAAATGTATACCAAAAACTCTCACTTGGAAGCGACCAATGACGACATTTCGGTCCTTTCTGGACCAGTATCAGGTCGCAACAACTGCTCAGAGAGAGTTATTTGTACACTCTTGCAGCCACAGTGTTGAATTACTCGCCTGATAGTACTGATACAGCATTGAACCAGCCTCCAGGCGCCATGGGAGGGCCGATTGAGCCACCAGGTCCTCAATGGAGTCTATGGGTATGGTGACTTTGGGCACGGTGAGCATTGCCGTCAGGATGCCAGAGTATGAGGTCATGAACACCAGTGAGGCCAGTAGCCAGGTCACAACTACCAATCGAATTCCATCAGTCTCGGGAAGACCATCTGTGCCTGGACAGTACAACACAAACCTCTGAAATGACCAATTTAACTTCTCCAAACTTCAGATATACGATCAAAAACCAATAATGCAGTGTGTGGTTGTGCTTTTTTTTTTTTTTTGTGTGTGTGTGTGTGAGTGTGTGTGTGTGTGTGTGTGTGTGTGTGTGTGTGTGTGTGTGTGTGTGTGTGTGTGTGTGTGTGTGTTGAGTGTGTGTGTAAACTTACTATCTTGCAAGAGCGTCCTCAGCACCCACATGACCGTGCTGGCCACAGTGTTTCTGTGGAAGAATAAGTAAGTTTATTCAGGTATACACAAATACAGTTACATAGAATTATCATACTTAGCAGCATATGTGTAGAGAACCTAGGATAACCCTAAAAAGTCAGACCTCACTAAAGAAGAACAAACATCACAGCCCAGAGGCTGGAACAATTTAAAATTCAAGTCAGTGGGAGGTGGACTAACAATCAATCTTACTTTACACGTAGAAACTCTAAGGGTTTTGTTAATTTCGAAATGATGTGGAAATAAATGATCGAAACCACCATTATACAAAAATAAGGGATTGGTGTCATTACGCTGTATGTTACGTCCTCTTCAGTCGGAAGAGTTCCAGTCAAGATGATGCAACGATTTTGCTTCCTTATATTTCTTAAATAGTGGTTTTCCGTCATCCTTGTGTAACACCAGAATTGTAATGGATCTCATTTTCAGTTTTCTGATGCAAGAACATCAGTGATCAGCTGGCAATGGCAGAAGTAATCTTTAATTACGATCATTGACAACCTGTGCTCCGTGTTCCTATAAATGGCTGAGTTTATGTGCATTAAAGTTGGCTTACTTGGAGCACCTGTGAGATACGTTGAAGATCTTGCTCTCCTGTCGGGCAATAAAGCTGAAAGTCACGCTGATGAAAACGGCAGCAGCCAGCAGCAGTGACCATACCTGCAACCAGGAACTGACTCATTGTCGAGTGTTCTTTCTATGACTGAATGTTCAGTCACCCCACAAGACTGAACATTCACAAGCCAATATATTCATTGACTCACACAAGTTTAACACTTGGCATTAGTATTATTATTATATTCATAACTAAGGGCAAAACCCCAAGAGCGAAGACTTGACATAAATATAATATATAATAGACTAATTGTACATTGTTTGAGGGAATAATAGCTGACTAACTGAGATTAGGGAAGTCTGACCTAGTTTCGTATCATATAATGGAATTATAGAATAATTTGACTTTTACGGGAAATATTTCCCTCTCCAGTTGGTATGATAAAAGATAGATAAAAAGTAGAAGAATAAAAGTTACATTACCTTAGTTGCAACAATATTATACAAACAACCAAAATAAAATTGAAAGCTAGACTACTTTTTTTGTCTGTTATGGACCATTAAGGAATCGCGAATTAATAATGGACCAATGTGGACCGAAACGCCGTCTATTTTCCATTTGCTATTTGTGGGTTGTGGGTTACTTGTGATGGGTTACTCTAAACAAAGAGCAGAAGAAAATGACAGAGAGAAAGCAACAGGAAAGAGAGAACAGAGTGTTACACCATCAACACTGACTACGGAGGTGAAGGGCTTGAGGAAGCCAGACCAGTCACTTTGAAGACTGGGTCGGATCATCAGTATGGCGAAGGTTTCACTGTAGAAGGCCTCAGAGAAGTCGCACACGGTCTCCCGGGCTCGTGACACGGCGAACGGCCCCACCGCCATCTCCACCTCCTGCAGTAAACAACTTTAAGACGTGAACCGGAGGTTCATGTCTTAAAGAAAAAAAAAAGTAGACTTCTTTCAACTGACAACTATCTGAAGCAAGAACGAAGTGTGACCCTCCTTGTCTATCTTGTGAAGCAGAGAGTAGACCTCAAGTACGTGCTCCCCTTTCTGAAGAAGACAGATGGAATAATCCCGCTCCTGTCAACTCGTGAAGCCAATAGAAACAGGCGCTACTCTTCTGTCTACCTTTTGAAAGGTAGAAGACGATCTCAAGCTCTTGCTCACTTTGTGAAGCAGACAAAAGTAAATACATTACTCTTGTTTACACCTGAAGGCAACAACAGCAGGCAAACCTCTTCTGTCCATTTAATAGTCAGGAGTAGTCATATTCTTATAACCCTCTGAAAGCTAACTTAAGTGTACCTCACAAATCACGCTCCAGGGAGGTGATCCTTGTATCGTGTGTTCTGGTGCATGTGTCTTCCTTCGTGTTAGGTCAGTGAAAGTAATATTAAGATGTATTTGATTACTTGCAAGTGCAAAATAATTATTAAATAAACGGAAAAATTATTAGATTATGTGCATTGTAATATCATATGACAGGATACAGAAGAGAAGAGTAAATATGAAGTAGAAAGATGAGAAGATGAGGCCAGAAAGGATGAGAAAACGAGAGGGAGGGAGAGAGAGAGAGAAAGAAAGAGATAAAGTCAGTTGAACAAATGAAATCGTTGGCCCACAGATGGCTCAAAACTCATCCTGTCCTATAAGTATATGACTCACGAAATCGTAATGACACGATTGCAAACAAACCATACCCCGGCCGGGACTGAACCCGCGGTCAGAGAGTCTCAAAACTCTAGACCGTCGCGTTAGCCACTAGACCAGCTAGCCACAATAAGATTCGTCCAACTAGGTATATTTCTACACCATAGGAAGGTTAGCACAGGCACCACTGTGACCACAAATGCAAGTTTTTACAGACGCTAGCTGGAGATTCGTCTGTAAAAACTTGCATTTGTGGTCACAGTGGTGCCTGTGCTAACCTTCCTATGGTGTAGAAATATACCTAGTTGGACGAATCTTATTGTGGCTAGCTGGTCTAGTGGCTAACGCGACGGTCTGGAGTTTTGAGACTCTCTGACCGCGGGTTCAATTCCGGCCGGGGTATGGTTTCTATAAGTATATGTTTCATAACAATAAAAAATGGTTTCAAATGAGCAGATGTAGGTAACAGATGTAGGTAACAGCTCTTAGCTTGTAACCCCTCATGGAAGGTTCCTTGATGTTGGTGAGGGGCTCTTGATTTAGGGAATTGGATCTGTGCTCCAGTTCCCCGAATTAAGCCTGAATGCCTTCCACATCCTCCCCCCGGGCGCTGTATAATCCTACGGGTTTAGCGCTTCCCCCTTGATTATAATAATAATAATCTTAGCTTGTAAATAAAATTGGGAACCTTAACCTAACCTTGTAAAACCCTGTGCAAAAGGAAAGAGAGAGAGAGAGGATAACAGGGAAGAGAATACACTGAAAACTGAAGGTAATAGTACATACAGCTGATGCATCACCTGTCTCTGTAGCATGCCGAACATCCCAGACCAGCTACCAGCAGCATCAGGGACACCCCACATGTTATCCTCCGGCTGCACCAGCTCATACCTGCCAGGGGACTGAATATGACTCTCTCGATGATAAGATAAGATAAGATTTCGTTCGGATTTTTAACCCCGGAGGGTTAGCAACCCAGGATAACCCAAGAAAGTCAGTGCGTCATCGAGGACTGTCTAACTTATTTCCATTGGGGTCCTTAATCTTGTCCCCCAGGATGCGACCCACACCAGTCGACTAACACCCAGGTACCTATTTGCTGCTAGGTGAACAGGACAACAGGTGTAAGGAAACGTGTCGAAATGTTTCCACCCGCCGGGAATCGAACCCGGGCCCTCCGTGTGTGAAGCGGGAGCTTTAGCCACCAGGCCACCGGGCCACATTGACGTGATCCTGCTCTAGTACAGTGAAGTAGCCTATCTGACGGAGGACCTAGGTTCCGTCACACAATTAATATTATGATTGTAGATGGATGGTTCGGAGAACCGACACGTTGTTAAATTAGACACATGTGCAACTCTTGGGTATCTTTATTGAGGAAACGTTTCCTCAATAAAGATACACAAGAGTTGCACATGTGTCTAATTTAATATTATGATCCTTCTTCAGCACACTGAAGTAGCCTACCTGACGGAGGATCCAGCCTCCGCCACACAATAATATTGTGAGCCTTTTAATAACAGGATCAGGATCCCATCAAGTATAACATCCTACCAACACAACACTACCACCTGTAGCTAGCACAATAACAATAACACTACCATCAACAGCAACGCAATAGCATTTAGACGCAACATCAAAAACAGGACCAGCAGCTAAAACAACAACGACAACAACACACAACAAAAACAATAACTACAACAACAAGAGCAACAGCAAAAACAATAACAGAAACAACAACAGCAGCAGCAACAGCGACAACAATAGCAATAACAGCAACAACAACATAACAACAACAATAATAGTAACAATAACAGTAACAAAGACATATTCGAATAATGCTTATTGATAACTTAATTCGATATTAATCAATGAAATTGCTTTAATACTAATTTAAGTCTAGAATATACTAGATACTTAAAACATTCCTCCAATACCATTCAACCTCAATTTACAAATTTACAAGAAAGAGAGAGAGACTCACTGAAAACCCAGTTTTTGTGCTAAGATATGGAACAGGTTGGCCATGGGTCCCAAGATAGTGACAGTGCCGTTCCCCAGTACCTCGACTCGAGTCCAAGGCACCCACTGTAAGGCAGAAAAGTGTCCGGTATAGCATTTGTCTCCGTCAATTATCTATATAAAACTACTATGAAGGAACATAAGAACCTGAAGATAAAGATGCACTGCAGCAGGCCTACTGTCCCATGCCTGGCAGATCTAACTCACACCCTACCACACGCAATGATGAACCTGTCCAAAGTGGTTTTTTTTTACCTGTCCATTCTATTTTATATAACCATCGAAACCTATTTTTTAACTTGAGTAAAATCCTGTAAATGCTTGGGTTAAGGCTCTGTCATTTACGAAGCGTAAACGATTCTAATGTAATGTTCGTTGATGCTGGTAAAGGGCTCTCGAACCAGGGAATTGGGATTCACTCTCCCCTTCCCGGGATCAAACCTGATTACCTCCCATTCCCTAGGTGTTGTGTTACCTCTACGGGCTTAATTAACGCTTCCCTCATGGATATAACATTAATAAGCACTGTAAGTACCCACGTCTAATGCGCATGAAGTCAAGGTCTGTTTGCTAAATCTATCAACACTAACCAGTAAGCATGTCACTTTCATCCTTATATCCTGCCTTACCTCTCCTGCAGCGATCCTGAGAGAGGTGGTCTTCGACATGATGGGTGCTGCGGTCACTCCGTCTGCTGCGCCTCCTCCCGGCTCCTCCAGCACCAGTGCTTTTTATGTAGTAAGAATGGATATGACTGCCGAAAACTTGAGGTAAATGAATATAAGTGCATTCACTTGGGACACCTTCATTGGAGATGTTTCGGTCCTTGGATCAAAATCCTATAAGTGTTACTTCCCTCCGGTGTTGTCTTTAATCTAGATCTAGAATAACCCAACAAAACCACATATAATTGTTTTCCCGTCCCTCTAAGATGTTCCGCACGACGTCCGACTAACTCATAAGGTCTTCTAAGGAACATTGATAGCAGGAACAATGAGTATATATCTCTCTCACCTTGAGAATTGACTCCAGGTCCCTTCAGTTGTTATTCGAACGTTCTGGCACTAAGATACAGGACTCTTGCACCTGAAGTCCTTCACACGCTATCCAGGGCACTCTGACGATGTATTTCAGAATGATGGAATGTTCTCACGATGTTCCTCTTCTGAATACACACTGTTACTACGGTAACATGTCCTTAATTAAAATATTTTATTCAGAACTTCAGCGGGTACATGGTATTGCCTAACTGCTCCATGATCATATCTAATGCTTAATTTTCACGAGTGTGGATTCACTTAGCAATGTGTGTATGGGATTCGAACTCCAGTTCCTGTCCCCTCATTTAATGGTAAATCGGCCAGCGTAGTTAGCTCCTGGTATCCTTGGGTTCAATAATATCTAATGTTTACTTCATGTATGGCAAAGATGGACAAAATACGGACCGTGGACCGTATCCGCCCCTGTGTCTAGAAATTTAGAAACAATTAAAGTGCTCCCAATTTATGAAAGAATTCATTTTTATTTTAATATGTCTAATTAGGAGCGTGTTTTGAGTTGTTGTAGCAGCAATACTTAGCAACAATGGACGAACCTAATGCAACTTTTTAAACTATGCTCTTATGCATGCATTTTTGCCTGATTGCAAGAGCGAACAGTTTCTTTGGGGTCTTCCTTCGGGTAACACTTGGATCAGGGCATATCAGCGCCACCTGTGCTTCAGCATTCGTACCTGTAAATGCCCTTGCTGGAGCAAGGGCGTTCCCTGTGATCACATTTGCTTGGACCTCCTCTTTTCTGCAACGTTGCAAGTTCCTGATGATGTGTTGATTGCAACACGAAAGGCCTAGAGCTATCATTCTACTCCCCCCGTGGTTGCTTTGCCTATTAACGAGTGTGTGTGTGTGTGTGTGTGTGTGTGTGTGTGTGTGTTAGTGTGTGCCCGCCACTTTTTGTTTGTAAGGGTCAAGCTTGTACTCCTGGTCCTATCCCTAAAGCTTCGTCTACTGAAATTACCTACCAGCTGTTAAAACCATATACTGTATGTAGTTTGCCTCCACCACTTCCTCATCCAGTTCATTCCACTTTCCTATTACCCTGCGAGTTAAAATGTACTTTCTAACATTCCCTTGTGCCTGGGAAAACTCTTCCTCAGTACATCCGACCAACTTTTTTGAGTATCTTGCAAGTCATAATAAAATTTATCCTAGTTATGATTTTCGACTGCTTAAGTTACTCCTCCCAGTGCACCTTCCTCAACTCTGTGACTAGTCTGGTTTCAAACCTTTGAGCTACCGACTGTAGCAGTAATGAGTATTGTTGTATTTCTGCGAGAAGGATAATGTGATCAGGTCTTCATGAGTTGAAGATGCTTGCTAGTGACTCCAAGCTTGCTTGACGCAGGTTTTAAGTACGTTCGGATAAATGCAAATAAATACTAGCGAGAGGAGAGTGGGAAGGAAGGATAGCTTGTACCTCCACCCGCCAGAGAGACTGGTATCCTCTGGATCCGCTAAAGCAATTGTCTCGTCATGAAAATGTGAGCATCTGCAGCCTTTGCCTCTATTACAATGACAATACTTAATGACTCGCCACTGTGCACTTCACTGAGCTAACGACTTCTACATAGTTAATTTCCAAACCAACTAAAACTGGTTACTGGGTATAAAGACAAGGTTCAACGTGGAGTATCGTCGTTGAAATTTAAATTGTATACATCTCACCTTAAGTCTGGCTCATCACCCTTCAAGAAGGGTGCCTTGATGCTGATGAAGAACTTCTTTCTCTTCCTTGGATCTGCCAGAGGTGCGCAGACATCACAGTTCAAATGACCACCCGAACGCTGACATCCCCACCATGATGACGATGATAAGGACAACCCTAACACAAAAGAACAAAAAGACAATACCGCGAATGGAACAATATACAAATAACCCACACATAGGAGCAAGAAGCTTATGACTAACGTTTCGGTCCGACTTGGATCATTAACTATTCATACCCTAATGCTAGCCAGGGTCCAGCGTCACCTGTTGTGTTCCAGATAATTTCTATTCCCCCCTCCCGCCCTCCGAGCATAAAACTATTCTAGCCAGCCTGCATCATTGAATACCAACATCTCCCGAAGATGTTTGGTGGTGTTGGTTTATTTCTCAGGAAGCAGGACAAGTGTCTCCTGACGAGGGTCAACTGTTAAACATTCTCTGGTCTATCAGGGTCACTTTTTACACCCCTGTTAACAAAAACAGGAGATCACTACCTAGTCTTGACGTATAAATTGATGTCATGCATCACTGACATGAGTTTCTCCGCAATATAACTTACCCGCAGTTTCATGGCAATAGTGTTTGTTCTCCAAATGGTTTTCGAACATCCATTTCCTTAATGGTGTTTCCTTAAAGACATTGGAACACCTACCCTGTTAATGGTCCTACCTTTATACTACAGTAACAACCATATTGGTAGTGGTGCTCTCTTATAAGCATTAATAAACCCTTCGTTGATGTAGGAAAGTCTGAGGTAAAGAGATGACGAAATTAGTCGATTCTCGTGGATGGTATCCTGGCTTAGTAGTATTTGAAGGACCTCGACTGAAATAAGCCACACTACTTGGCTTTGTGGGGTTATTCTGGCTTATTAATCCTCCACGGTTAATAACCCAAATTAAAGTTTCTTCTTCAACATGGAATTCGAACACTCATAATGGCAGTCGAACACCCTAAATGGTATCTGAATACCTTTAATTGAAGTTGAACCCGCTTAATTGTAATAGATCACCTTTAATTTTAGTCGAACTTGCTTAATGGTAATCGAATCCCATTAATGGTAGTTGATCCCTCTTAATTGTTGATAAACCCTCTTAATAGTAGTCGACCATCCATTATGGTAATCGAACACCCTTAATGGCACTCGAACGCCATTAATGTTTGCAAATAAACCATTGAACGGGTGGGGTTAAAACCCATGGCAAGTGAAGGCAACAGAGGGTCACTTCTTTTGATGTAACAGAAGTGTCTCTTTCCTTGATGCAACAGGTCACTTCCTTGATATAACAGAAGGGTGTCACTAACCTTGATATAACAACAACAGAGGGACACTAACCTTGATGTAACAATAACAGGTCACTAACCTTTATGTAACAACAACAGGTCACTAACCTTGATGTAACAATAACAGGTCACTAACTTTGATGAAACAATAATAGATCACTAACCTTGATGTAACAATAATAGGTCACTAACCTTGATGTAACAATAATGGAAGGTCACTAACCTTGGATCAAACGTGTAGCGCAAGCTACACGCCAATGTATTGTCCAGTGTGGGTAGATTGGTAATGCACTGCGTACCTTGTCCTAAGGTTCGTAGGTTCGAGTCTCCTTCAGCCAGAGATCAGTGTTTGTGTGTATTTCGCCTGCTCTCGCGAATTCCTTGCATTGTTAAAATCTCTAGTAAGGCTGATGCATGCAGGGGATGAGATGAAAAGCTGTAAGCCTTCTCCCTGAAAGCTGGCTGCCTTGGATCAAACGTGTAGCGCAAGCTACACGCCAAGGTATTGTCCAGTGTGGGTAGATTGGTAAAGCACTGCGTACCTTGTCCTAAGGTTCGTAGGTTCAAGTCTCCTTCAGCCAGAGATCAGTGTTTATATATATATATATATATATATATATATATATATATATGTGTGTGTGTGTGTGTGTGTGCTAGTTAGTTAGCATTTTGTCCTAGGCACATGCCGATTAGACACGGCCTGTTGTGTGTGTGTGTGAGTTTGTGTACTTCGTGTGTTACACATTATGATGTGCTCTCCTGACCTGACACTGACCCAACAACCTCCTATTAGCTTGTACCATCTATGCTTGTCTTTCTTCCTAGAGGCTCCAGTCTAACAGACACCTGTCTGCCCGCCCTGACTTCTGTACTTATTAACCTATTCCTTGTTCATTCTAAGTAAGAGTGGACATTCACTTACAGCTAGCAGTACTTAGTACTCACACCTGACTCCCCAACCATGCATAGGTG